GTTCTACGAAACATTTGCGAAACAACTCTTGAGTAAATGTTGCTACCTATTTTTAGCAACGCAAGGCGGGCATTTGAGTCTGAGGTTTCGTATCTGTTGCACCACATTTTGATTTAAAGTTATTCAATAATGCAACACGCACGAAATTTATGTTACAGTTACGCTACTGTTGCATATTTATGGTCGCTGGGTTGAATTAATGAAATAATTAATTTCCAAACATCTACGCACACAAGGTTCGTTGCGTATCTATATTTAGATTATGTATTGTTAACAAAATGAACAATTTCATATGCTGTATAAGGAGGCTCGTTACAAAATGTAATTTAATAACAAACATATTTATTATCTCTTATAATTACACAAATTATTTCTTCTGGTTCAAACCGTTTACGAAACGTGCTACGGTGTGTAATTGCGATATTATTGGCCACTGATAAATATTAAACACACGCGGATGTTCTTCATGACGACGTCGCTGGTTTCTTGCAAGGGTAAACAGGATCCATGGAAAAATAAGCGGCTAAAGAATAAAACATCCATTTTATTTAAAAATATCCAAATAATTTCATTGAGTTATATAACTACCACCATTGTATAAATACAATGCTACCGCATAACAATATTTACATATTTTGCGAATGATCGTATGATCTAAGAAAACCTAATCACGAGCAAAAAGACAAAATGGAGTGCGCGCAGGTATTCAAGCACGTCAACTTCTTGGGTTTGAGCTTGCTTAAGTCTTTTTGGTCTATGATTCAAATTGGGTGACAGGATGACAAACAAAAAGGGACGTAGTTAATCACAGATAGAATGAATGCTGCGAAAACATATTACTTACAACAAATAATTTTTATGCGAGTATGTACCTACTTTCGCGTGGTACATTTAAAACGGTAATTATACATCATGCTGATCTGAACTTACTTCAGTATTTATTATTGTTACAGTTGTGACAGTACCTTTCACGGTGGATCTCGAAGAGGCACGCCTGTGGCGAAAACTAACAGCAAATGATTGTTGCTGCCTTTGACTGTACTTGCTACCGAAGTATTTACAAGACAGCATCTCGCGCATACCTCTAGAAGAAATTGATTTTTACACTGCTCAGAAAAATGCACGACTTACCTACGAAAATTCTTGGATAGAAATGCGTAAAGCAGTGGATTAATGCCAGAATTGAAGTAAGTAATTAAAAATGTTAACGGTGTCAATAGGGCGCTAAAATTCGTGTTTCCCTGGTAAGAGTGCGACCAGTACTGCCACATTTTTCTGGCGTGAAAGGGCAAATTACATAAAGCAAATGTTAATACTACAACTATTAACATTCTAATTACTCCTCTCCTTGCTCGAAGTACATTCTGGCTGGCATTTGGGTTGGACAGTCCATTTTCCGAAGTGCGCGATGGTCGTACTTCGCCCTGTAGATGAAAAATTAATTTTAGAAAACATCCACATTAAGCAATAATACGGTAATACATTGTGAGTTTAACGGCATACTACAATATCGTATTAAGTAATGAGTTCGTGGTTAAGAGTTAGCAATTAAGCAATAAACCAGATGCATTCCAAGTACCTAATTGAAGATAAATCGAGTTGATCCACTGTAACATTCAAGGTTATATAGATGGATAGGTACCTAATAGTAAAATCTCAGCACTAAAAAATGATATTAAACTATTACAACTGGAGCCGAAAGAAATTAATACACTTCTAAAAGGGACGAGGACGACTGCAAGGAAACTTGAAAAAAACCAATAGGCCGAAGAATAGGAAGCCGAAAGAAGCAGAGGAAGGTGATGATGCAGATAAAGATAAATAAAACTACCCTCTTGGCTGGGACGATCCATTTTCGAGCCGCTACGAACATGGCATTGATATTTATTCCCTCTAATTCATCTTCTATAAAATTATGGACCAATTCTACCGTGGTCAAGTGTATGCAAACTCTATAATTGTTACTCATTCTAAAGGTGAAAAGAATGTTCTTAGCTCAAATGGCCTTATCAGTTTGTAAATAACAGTCCTTCGAAAGCTTGAACAATACGGCTTGTTCCTTTTTGGGAAACATAGACGCGGATGCAACATTTGAAAAGTATCTCAAGTTACTATTAATTTGTGTGCTATCATTGGTTGCCTTGGAAGTAAGGGCACATCCCCGAGGCGCTCCTGTCGTGAGAAGGGCCTTGGGTAGGGTAAGCAACTGAATTACCTCAGTTTGTGAAATTGCGAGAAACCACTAACTGAAACTCTAAACTTAAGCGTCCTATCGCACCGTCAAAGTTACGTTATTTATGCCTTTTGTCACTATAACTTCAAAACAAGTTAAAAAGTCATTAAGTACAAGCATAAATGACGAGAGCGTATTTTCCTCTATAGTATATTAAGTATGGAGAACGGTAAGGGATTTTTACCGTTCGAAGACAATTGTTTGGAGGAGGAGCGAAGCGACGACTCCAATTATTGCCTGAGAACGGTAACCCTTAACGTTCGACGTGCTTATAACATTTTTTGCGCGATCGAAATTAAAATTATGCAACCAATATAAATATGCACTAAGAAATTAAGGAGCAGAATAAATCGAAATGATCGAAGTGGTATGGTGTACATCACTAGGTAACCAGTTTATTTGTCAAAATTGAAATTAATAATTTCATAAAAATGTGCATGTGTCTGATGTAGTTTTACTAGCTTTGCACTTCCTTTATGACTTTATGAGCGTCTTGCTATAGGAAAAACAGCACAAATTGTACGTTTAATGTACCTAACAATAATTAAAGATTAAATGTAATGTAAGACTGTTGATTTTTAAAAAGGCGTCGGTAAGTATTTTTGTTGTTCTGTTTTTAGATCGGTAAGTAATTTTGGCGTCGTCGTAATCATAGCAACTGGTAAATTCTACGTACTGTCATGGAAACACCCATGGTAAATAGTCAGAAATGACCGATCGCGCAAAAAATAATATTAATGCTAGGAACAAATACCGGTAGGCACGAGATCCTTAACCCAGTCTCTTTCAAATGAGTCTATACAGTTTATTGAAAATTAGTGGAGCGTATACAAATATAAACAAATTCTGAAACTGATATTAGATTTGTTTTATTTCAAGTGGCCATGTATTAAATTTCATTTACAGGCTTTGGTAAATAAAGAAGTTGACACTGCGCATGCGCAAAACCAAAAATATCGGTATGCACGGAATCCTTGGACCGAGCCCTTTCAAATGAGCCCCATATCGCCCAAATCGGCTCAGCCGTGTAGAAGGAGTACGTGTGACGGACGGACGGTGCAGCCAACAGTGATTTTTCACTTTGATGAAAATACGCTAATAATAGTAAAACCTCGTATTACACAAAAGATGAGAGCGCATAAACACGTCTACTTGGGTTCACAACGTATTTATACAGGGTGAGATTCAGTTAAATGAGGAAAGAGTTGTCGTTTTAAGAGTTTATTTAAGATATGCTTTTGTTTTTTGAAAAAAATCCACAGTTTACTAGATATGAGCGAAAAACAGATTTAGTGATTTTTCTTTTAAATGTAGAATCGTTAGTATTAGAAAGACAGAAATATGCAAAGAACAAAAATTGTAGTTTTTTTTCCGGTTAATAAGGTACATTTATTAATTTTCATTCTTCTTTTATAATTTTCGAGTTATAACTCAAACATACATTTTTTTAAATGGCAACCATAGCTGGGTATGACATTTTTAAAAAGGGCATTTTTTTCTGTTTACGATGATATAATGTTCATTGTACTTACTTTGACAAATAAACATGATACAGAACTGTTTGTATTATTAAGAGTAGCAAAATCAGAGCTTGCCATGGGAAACATTTTTGTTCTCTTAATTACTCAGTCTATTATAATATTTAACTTAAAACTTTAGGGCCACAAATAGAACGACAATGAAAAGAAATTAGGTACTAGTACGAAATATTACATTTAAATTTCTACTTTGAAGTAATACATGTAAAAAATGTTCAAAGTGCGATAGAATTGACAGCTTTCCTTATTATCTTACCATCTAAAATGCGAAAGGCATTTACCACAGCATCATGTAGTCTTTTGTCGCATAAGTTCTCTGATAAATTAAACCCTTTCAGACCACGGAGAAGGAAACTGAAAGATCTGGTGATCTTGGTGACCAAAGGGTCGACCCGTTCCTATCTATCCATGACTGAAATAGTTGGTTTAGTGCTCTCGTACTTGCAGTTGGTTGTGCGGCGGGGCACCGTTGTGGTGAAACCAGCGTAAATTACGTAGTGTTTCCAAATCTAACCCATCCTACATATCTTGAAATTCATTTGGTAGTAAATGAAGATAACGTTGGCCTGTCCAATTTTCATCGTAAATTAAAGGTCCAAGAATTCGTGATCCAATAATTCCGCATCAAACATCAAATCGGAGTTTTCTTTGAGGCCTTCAACAATAAACAGCAGTATTTTGTTTATTTCTTGTTTTCCATGGCATGATCTACCTTTAATAGTGTATTGGATATAATTGTTTCATAGTGAATTTTCCAAAATGGCCTGTAAATATAGTTAAATGTGCCACTGTTATAGGTACTATTACAGATCTCATTAGATGTTATTTTCCATGGCAAACTCTGTTTATTTACCTCTCAATAATACGAAAATTCCTGCAGCGCGTTTATTTAATAAAGTACATTTAGCAAGCCTTATTTCTTCACTTCACTATGACTATCATTTAAAAAAAATTAAAGTTTGTATCATAACTCAAAAATTTTTGGACTGAAGCACAGGTTTAGACCCCTTCCACAATCACATAATTTTCTTCTGCTTTATCGAAAAAATACAATCTTTGATTGCCCTTCTCTAAATGTCGTATTTTTAAAAAATTTCAAATGGCACAAATTATACCTCTGGCTAGCCAAAACTACAAATTTTCCACTGATATAAACAAAACCACACATTCCGTAAGAAAATTTCAGAGGAAAACCAAGGCAAAACGCGAATTTGTAAAAAAAGTTCTTTTCCGAACCGAAGTGTGCCATGATAAATCAAAATATGTTCAATTCTCACAATTAACAGTAAAGTGTCGGCAGTGTATGATTGTTTTTTAATCAGCGTTTCTAAAAAGTTCGAAACATAAGCAGAACTGGTTGACATGGCGCTTATTCTTGGAAACTGTTACCGGGACTGTTTGTTGACGTTACAAGAGTACGCTGGGAGATTTCCTGGCAGAACACATGCAGATCCACACACGCGTTGTTGGATAAATTTATACAACTACTGGGAGTACTAATTTCACGCACACTAATATGGCGATTCTCAACAGCTGCCCCGAGGACTTCATTCATGATCTTCCGCCAAAACCGGCGTCCGTTTAATTCTCCTTGGTCGTTTTACACTCCCTGTAGCTGTAAATCTATCCAACACCTTTGAACATCTTTTGATTTATCATGGCACACTTCGTTTTCTTTATAAATTAGCGTTTCGACTTGGTTTTTCTCTGAAATTTTCTTATGGAATGTGTGGTTTTGTTTATATCAGTGGAAAATTTGTAGTTTTGGCTACCTATAGATATAATTTGTTTAGAGGGCTGCCATTTGAAATTTTTAAAAAATATTGACATTTAGCGAAGGTCAATCCAAAATTTTAATTCTTTCGATAAAGTCTTATCCTGTGCCTCAGTTCAAAAATTAATCGCCTACGCGATTTAGTTTCTCTCAAAAAAAATTGCGAAAAACTGTCAAATTTTTACGAAAAAAGTTATAACAGCGAAATCGGTAAAGTTAGAGGTAGATTATGTTACATAAAATAACAGGTACTTTTCAAGTACTCTCCAAATCAGTAATAAAATATGGGGTGTTCCATTTAAAAAAATGTAAGTTTGATACGCCACTGTAATACAGTACGCCCCCTGGTGATCAAAAATATTTTAGAAACATGCCGGCGGTAATTGTGTACAATTTTGCTCTAAGACCTTTTACGGTAGGTACATTTTATGGCAAAGGAGTTATGATCCGAGGGATCTTAGGTATATTTATTAAGGATTCTCAGATCCTTTATAGTTTTGTATTGTCGTCCGTCCGTCCGTGTGCGCTCTGACTCCTTTTAAAAGTGACCGATTGTGTTGAAATTTCGTGTACGGGTACTTTGGAAATTAAGGACGGACGCTATTGATTTTCAGGAAGCTGGTTCAATAGGAACAAGTTATAGGACTTCGAGTGAATCGGGAACAGGAATAACTGCGGGCTCAATATAGGTAATAGAAATCAACATATTTGATTCCCTAGGCCATGTATTTTCGCTAGATTATTCTCTATGGCTCTTCGATGTGTAACAATTTAATATAACTCTTCTCTGTGGTATAGGTCAAAAGTTTTAGAGCTAAATGTATCCAAAATTATTCTTTACAAATGAATTTGGAGTTGCAAAGCTTTCAAACGCATTAT